AGGCGGGTAGATGGGCGCGTATGGGGCTAGACAGACAGATGAGTGTGTATGGGGATAGACAGGCAGGTAGATGGGTGCGTATGAGGACAGACAGACAGAAGACAGGCAGATGAGACAGGAGCGGAGACAAAGGGCTGTGAAAGAACAGAAGAGACAGGGAGCGCGAGATTGACAGAGCGATGCAGACAGAGCAAACAGCGATATGTGAGCAGTGTTAATACTGCCGAGCTCCAAGAGAAATTCAGCTCAGGAAATAGCACAATGCAGGCCCCTCCGGGCGGTTACTGCAGCCCCACAGCTCGCCCCAGGGCCATGGTGTAATAAACATTTCACACACCCACGATCCCACGGGCCACAGTAACTTCCCCAGCACAAGCAGGACCAGAGCATGCCCCGGGCGCGCCGTACAGCCACGGTCACCTTAGGAGGCTGCATTGAAGCCTTCCCCGCCGCTGTGTTTATTTATCAATCGAGCTGCTTTAATGGCGCAGTAACGAGGCTGGGTTTTTTTAAAGAGACGCTGCCAGCCAGGGCCTCTCCCTAGGCTACGCTGCAGTCACACGACAAGTCAAGTCACAGTGTCCCCACGAGGGGGAGCGCTCGTGCGAAACCGGAACAGGTCCTCACGTCAGGCTGCTGATGGCTAGTGTGTTTGCTCCTCTGTGTCAACTGCAGTTTCTTTGTTTCCTGCATCACGTCATTCCTTCGCTCTCTCCATTCCCAAGCACCAGCTCTGACCTGACCCGAGGAGAGCCATCACATCCCCTCCCCTCCACCCAGGAACTGGCCAATGACCCATCCCAAGGCAAAGCCAAGGTCAACACAACGAGTGCCCGTCTCACCCAACGATTGCTCTTGCAATTAACAGTTTACAGCCAAGGGGGAGGGGGAAAGAGATGCAGCCGGCCTAAGACCACAATGAAACAATAAACGCAGCAGTGAAGGGAAAAAGATGGTTTGCTGGGCGCATACGTCGGGGGTGGGGGTCCGGGAACTGCACACCCTGACTCCAAATGTCCATCTCTGTCTGCTTCTTACTCCCCCTCCGTTTTGGCCTAATTCCACCCTCCGTTTTCTCCCAGCCTCCCCTTCCTTCTCCAACGCAGCCAACGCCGCCGTATCCAAGGGCAACTAGAACGGGTCTGAACATTTCCGACAGACCAGAAACGCAGTCTGGGCAAAACTGAAATATTTCACGGGAACCTGTCGATTTCAACCGAGTTGACAAATCATTTCAACGGTCTCATTTCCATGCTGTCGAAAGGTTCCGTTTCGAATGCATCACTTTGATTCATTTGGGTTCAACTTGTATTTTATAGTGAAATACTAATGTTAATAGTATATTATATTTGTGTACAGCAGAACCCTAGTTTTAGGAACATCGACCTTATGAATCATTGCTTACAAGAACCATCTTTCTGCTACTGAACGCAACTGCAATCCATCAGCTAACGTTCAAGCACCTGTAGAGGTTTGAAAAGTCTGAGAGATTTAGCAGCTTCAAAGAAGAGCTGCATTTTTCTCAAATAAAGGAAAATCCAGCACACTTAACCCATCTGTTACCACTCATTACGTACACAATCACTGAACAATTAATAAATTAACGTATGCACCGTATCACCCTCAAATTTGAGATGTTTAATTTTATGAGCTTTTCGATGTTATGAATTCCTCAACCCCCCACTAGTTCACTAAACAGGAACTCTACTGTATTGTATTTATTATTGTAGATACTATATATTGTATTTATTATTTTAATACGATATCCAAGTTGAAAAGCATCGACATTATTGGAACCAAACGGTTTTGTCGTATCAAAATGAAACATCTCAATGGTTTCAAAGAGAAATTTGGGGGAATTTTCGTTCTATGCCAAATTTCAAAATGGCAACTTTTTGTTACAATTCAGGACAAAACTTAATTTGGGGAATTTCAGAATTTCCCACGGAACAAAAAAATCCGTTCTCCAACCAGCTCCCACGTCATTGATGCCAACGCGACTCTCTATCTCCCTCTAGTGGCTGGAGGGTATAGCGAGGTTTATGAGCCCACAGATGGGTCCCACCTGGTCCAGTATCTCAACCTCGTGGTGACTCAAGCTTATGAATCCAGAGACTCTGGCGTCAGATCTACCCCCGGGGCTGTCACAGCATAAACTCCAAGGACATGATGAGTACCTTAAATTTAGGCTAGTCCATACTGGAGAAATTGACCATGCTAAATTCGTAGCCCCTCAAGGGACTGTGGCTCATCTCACGTCCGCATGCACCAGGCAGCTTGCATCTGTGCTAAGGGCCACTCCGGGCTGACCGTGCTTAGAGCCAAGGTGGACATGGAAGAGCTGGAAAGGTTCCACTCGGCCCAGCCACCACTGTCGTTCCCGAACCTCCCAGCATGCCTTCTTCCGGCAGCAGAGCCACGGGACACCTCCCCATTGCAGAGCAAACGTCCGGCAGTTCCTAACCCTGGCGAGTGTGGATGGGTGGAGCTGTTGGTGCATAAACTGGCTTCGCTCTAGCCGGTTCTGTTCTCTGGCACAGGCAACAGGCACAGGGGGTGTTGAGAAGCACGGGGGCCGTGGTGACGAGGGCCCGGTTAGGTAGGAAGCTACTGCTGCCCTGGTGTGTTAGTTGGAGGGTTCCCAGCCCAGGCCGGGTTGCCCCCCTTCCTGCCCCCCCCCATGGAGAGCCCCTCCCCCCCCCCCAGGAGAGCACTCACAATGCGGTCGGGGGGTGGCGTGCTCCCGATGAAACACTCCACTTTCCCGCGGTCGCCGCGCACCGCGTACTGAACGGCCTCGCTCGAGATGATCGGGGGGCCTGCGGGGGGAGAGAAACAGCGGCTTAAACTGGGCACCGTAGCGGGCACCCCACGGCTGTGGAGTGTCCCACCAGGCTCGTTAGTTAACGAGAACGGGGAGCCGCAGCAGGCCGGGGTGAGCATCCCTGGAGGGAGTAGGAGACG